GTAAGCAGAATGGCACAATCACTTTTCGTGCTACTCATGTGATTGAATGCTTGAAAAAATTGACTAATTATTATTTGCTCCCATATAATGCGCAATAAGTTATATTCATATAAATAATTATTTTAACCTTACCTGAATCTGATATGATGTCTAATCTGAATATATCATTCTTATTATTTTGCAAGTTATCATTAGGTACTTATTGTGATTGATACCAAATCCCTAACGCTATACTTACTTAATTCAGCTAATCTAACGATAAAGTCTAACTCCAAAATTCAAATTTTTATAAAGAGATATTACATGTTATTATATTATATATCTTTTGTTTCTTCATAAGTAATTTTATTTATGTATTAAGTAATTTTTTTTCAATTTAGGGTAATATCTGCATTCAATAAAAAGGCAAAGAAAAACTAGGTGTCATTACTAATAAATGTGTAATTTATTCTTTTATGCTAAGTTTGTGTAGATAAATGTTTCCTAAACCCACTTAATTTAATTTTCAGGTACTTCGTCAACCCAAAAATACTAAATGTGGATATTATGTCATTCATTTTATGTGAGAGATAGTTTTATATGATTTTATGACCACAACATTTAAGGTTAGTATAAATTTCATAAATTCATTATATCTTCAAAAAAATAAAAAGTTAAATTATGTTCTCATTTATTAACATTTACTTCTGATATTTTTTTAATGGAAGAGTAAAGAAAGCTTCATGATGGAGAAACTTGATGAAGTTCGTAAAGAATGGTGTGAGTATGTATTATCATTTATTGATAAACCTTGAGGTTGAATATTGTTGGTTGAATGTAAATATATGAGGATCATTTGTTATAATGTTTTTAACATGCCATGTTGAATGGATAATTTATGTTTATAGATTGAGGTATTGGTTTAATATTATTGATATATATTTGCTTTATATGAATACACATATATTGAGTACGATTATTTGAGAAAAGTATATTAATATGACAATGTTATCAGTTTTAAATTCGGATGTGTGGTCAATTTATTGAAATACAACAATGTTCGTAATGTAAATTCAAAATGTAATTTGTAATATCACACATATAAACTAAATGTTTTTTTGGCATAAACCTACAACTGACTTCACATATATAATTAAACCAAAGTTCTTTTTTATGGGATCACTGAAGGCGTTTTTAGCAAGAAAATGCCTTGAATAATCCCTAACAAAACATTATTGAAGGTATTTTTGACCAAAATTGCTTTCACTAATCTCATCTAAAAATTTATTGTGTGGATTATAAAAGTGTTTTGGGCAAAAAATGCCTTCAAGAATCCATTTCAACTTTTTTGTATGGATTATTGAATTCGTTTTTCACCAAAACCGTCTTTAATAATTGCTCATAAAAATTTATTGATTGGATTATTGAAGGCACTTTCGGCCAAAAATGCCTTTAAGAATCTATTTCATATTTTTCCTATGGATTATTAAGAGCATTTTTTTGCTGAAAATGCCTTTAATATTCCCTCTTCAAAATTTTTTGAATCTTTTGGTGAAGGCATTTTTGCCCAAAAAATACCTAAAATAATCTATTATAAATAATCCCTTCAAAAACCAAAAAAAGCTAAAAGGAGGGATCGAACCTATCACCTTATGGTTAACAACCGTATGATGTTTTGCATAGATAGGATATTTATTGAAGGCTTCATTGACAAAAAACACCTTCAATAATCCTATGAAATTTTTTCATGAAATTATTAAAAGAGTTTTTTGCAGAAAACGCCTTCAATAATCGCATACATTTTTTTATGAGGGGATTATTCAAGGCATTGTTTGTCAAAAATACCTTTCGTCATCCTCTATCAATTTTTTTAAATGGATTATTCAAGTCAATTTTTGCCAAAAACGCTTTTAGTATTCACTCAAATTTTTAAGATAGAATTATTCAAGGTATTTTAGTCTATAAATGCTGCTAATATCAAGTTTTGGGTGACGTTTATAAGTAAAAACATCACTATTTGAATATTTAGTGGCGTTTTGATAATAAACGCCTTAAGTTTTATAAAAACACGAAAGCTAATGGCGTTTGTAAATGAAACACCGTTATAAAACTGCCACTAATCTTCCATTTCTTATAGTGGCATTCTTGTCTTTTATACATCTTTTTTTTTTAACATTTTTCACTTGAGTATTTCTTTCATTAATGATAAAATGCATGTATTTTTAGCTCAAAGAATTAAATTCTAATATTCCCTTTGCAAAAAATAATATCTTGTAAAAGTTTTTTCTTGACTTAACACGTCTATGTATATATCCTTTTTTTTTCAAATTTTATTTTTCCTAATTTAAACAAACTTCAAAGAAAAAAAATAAAAGAAACCACTCATTTGAATCCTTTAAGTCATATATCGTAGTAGTACTTATATATCCCCGACTAAAACCCTTGAAGGATATTGGGTTCATAACAAAAATGTCATAAGTTTAATAAAAAATATTTTTCCTACACTAAAATTAAGGGTAAAAGAGAGGCTGATTTTTTAGGATATCTAATCATTTGAAAAAAGTGATGAGATTTTCAAACAATAATTTAAGATTTATTCTGTAAAAAATTATGAAAATCATTGCAGTTGCTTGTTCCTTTTGCAACTTGGTTTTTGCTTGTGGAAGTAAATATATATATGTTGGCATAAAAAAATTAATTTTGAAAGAATAAAAATAAAAGTAAAAATAAAAATAAAAATAAAAGTGCCTTTCTCAATAATAGGATCACATGATTTTACTTGTATATGGATTATTTATGTTATAATTAGTACTACATTTTAATCTTTTGTTCATTCTAATACTAATAAATATGATTATGATGTTATTATTATTATGTTTTAACATTTTCGATTCCTTTATAACAACTTTTATAAAAGTAAAAAGTAAATAGTAACAACTTAATGTAACCCTTGTAACTACATGAAATTAAAGAAAGAAAAAATAGTTATTACTAGTAAAAAATGATTATTTGATTTCAATATATATTTATATAGGTGAGATATAGTATAAGAAAAAAAATATCTAAAATAAATATGTATATTTGGGATCCTTGTATATAAGTATTATGAATAGGGTTTCAAATTAATAACGGTTGCATAGCAGTATTACGGTCGCTATTTTAAGGTTTTGATGGCCTCCACCACTATTACATACCTAAATTTAGGGTGTGAAAGGAATTCACGCTTATAACGACAGCTTGTGACCATAAAACAATAGTGTAGCAGATAATAATGGCTATAGCGAGATGCTACGGCCACATTCATCATTTTCAACCCAAAATGTAATTTGAAAACCCATTACTTTTTTCAACAGTCATAGAATTTCAAAAGAAAAAAACACATTTGAAACAAGAAAAACCTTTTAAGTTTACAACTCAATCAGCAAATATAAACCTAAATCAAGATCAAAGAAAATGTTATTGAAGTTAATCAATGACCACCTTAAACCATGAGAGTTGAGAAGAAACAAAACATCCAAAATGGAAAGATAAGGGGCTTGGGTTCACTAGTAGTGTGGCTGATGGCTTGGGTTAAAGAAGAATGGAGAGATAGTGTGGCTAAAAATTAGAAGAGGTTAGAAGATAAAGCAAGCATGGGAGATGTTATGGATTTTTGGAGAAAGATGAAGATTCAGAGAGGTTTAATCATGAATTTTGAAGAATGTAGGGATATAGGAAATGTTTGGTGGGTTTGGGTTCAACCTAACCAATCATAGTATTTGTCTTTGTTAACTTAAAATCGCAATATTTTAATATTCTAATGTTATTGTTAATTGTATATTTTTATTAGTTAATAAAGATTAGTTTGTCACGATTATATTATTTTGGTTAATTAGTTATTTAATATGTTACACTAGAAATTTTGATCTATTGGTCAAGTATATGTATCCATGGTCAAAGAGTTAATTTTAATTATCTTCCCACAATAAATATATGTTATAAAAATATCTAAAATGTTCATCACTATTTTTCTAATTAAATTAATTATAGTCTTAATTAACTTCATATAAAATATATTTTTTCTGTCATATGTATTTATAACATTTATGTCCATGAATTTAATGGGTATAATAATGAAAAGCATTTATAATATGCAATTTAATTCTGAATTATAACTACAAAATATGAAAAAATTTATTTTAATTTATAAGTAAAAAAATTAAAAGTCATAAATTATTTTAAAAATTATAAAGTAATAATTTTATAATTATAATTATTATATTTTATAGTAAATTACGTAAAAATTAAAAAAAATTCACGACCACAATGATTGCAATGATTGTAATAATCATAATTATTTTCATTATATCCGCAATCGAGATAAATGTGACACGACCAAAAAGTGACCACAACTGCGATTTAAATCATTGACTATAAATTATCATGAAAGCCTTCCAATGAAATTAAAATAAATAAAGAAACGAAACTTCATGCATGGCTTTTCTTTGATTTATCTTTGTCATTATAGTGGAAAAGTTTTACTAACAGATACCATGTTGTACTCCAAAAATGTAACAAAAGAACAAAAACTCTCTCCAACCCATATTCTTAGTCACTTCAACACCAGTCTTCTAATCTAATTCCCAGTTTCAGGTCCCTTGTATTTCAACATCATCAATGCTTAAAACGTATCTTCATTGGGGAACCCAAACAAGGCCTTATTCTGTCAATTAATTCCTCTTTGTAATGTTGTCTTAAATATGGTTGTTTTGTTTTCTTAATTGACAAAATCCTAAAACATGGTCCAAATGCATTTTAAGGCAACCCTTATTTCATGTCCCTACAGCTTCCCAATGCACTCATTCCACGAAATGTAACATCCTTTTTCTTTTTTAAGAAAAATTTAATAGTAGATAAATTATTCAATTTTTTAAAATAAAATAAAATTTATTATATCTGTAATCTAAAAATAATAATTAAAAGTCATGCATTCAAGTTCATTCTAATAAAAAATCACTAATTGAATCCAAAACTTTTACGTTTAAATGAAAAATCCTTACCAATTGAGCCAACCTTTTGTTAGGTCATGAAATATAAAATCACAACAATAAATACAGTTCCCAACTTCTGACTTAATTAATACATAGATAGATAGCAAATTAGTGAAAAAAGTTTCTTTCTTTTAGTTCTTCAAAGGAAGGAATTCAAAAAACTGGCAAGGAGTGAGGTTGGCGGTCATGGCTGCAGCTGATATCTCATTCTCTTTCGCCTTAGCGATATGGGTACCGTCGCCGCTACGAAGAGGGAAGAGCTGTAGGGTTTGAGATTCCACAGGACCATCGTCTTGGTTTCTGGCAGTGTTGAAAGGGTCAAGTATATTGATGTTTTGACTGCAGGGAGCTATAAAGATGTTGAGATCATAAGGAGCCTTAGTGAGCTGCTGCTTTGGGTCCATTGTTCTTATTGCTGTTGGTATTGGCGCTGTGGTGCGAGTGGTGGCAGTGCTAGCCGCCGCTGCTGCTGTGGTAGAGGAGGTGGGAGGGGGGCAAGAGTAAGACAATAGCATCTTCTGCAACGTGCCATTCCTTTCCATAAAGTAATTCCTTCTATGCTGTAATTCCCCTTCCTCGAATTGGATCCATCCATCTGCTCTACGTTCTGCCACTGCTGCTTTTGCTGCTGTTTGTATTGAAACATATTCCTGAAATATTATAAAATAAAACCCATGGATGTAAATAGATATTATGCATATTAATAAATAAAAAGTTTGGGCACTCCCCTATTATTTTTTTTTTTTTTTTTTCAATGAGCCTAAGTTACATTCCATTCAAATCAAAGGACAAATGGTCCAAGGCAAGGGCTTGGTGGGATGACAAATTGTACTAATTGGGTCACCAAGTCTTTTCACTGTCAGGGTGCCCAAATTCTTCAGAATATTTTTAAAGAGAGTGCTCAAATCAATACCTAGCCCAAATGCCATGAATGCGTATCGAGCACAGGTCCCAAAAAACCCAGGCTACTTCCATAGCAGCAGCCCCCGACAGAAAGGAGGGAATGCAGCTTTTAAACCCTTTTCATTTCCCAACAAACAAGGCTTTTCTTGCTTTCTTGGATATCTTCCGTGTATAATATAGTAAAACTTTAAATCTAAACCTAAAAAATGAATCTTACATACATGGAATCATTCGAGATTATCATTGTCTAATTAGTAGCATGCTATCATCTTTTTAGGGCTATAGCTTAATTGCTTAAAGGTAATTACGATCGGAAAGGGGAGCTTACAGGTTATTTCCATCGTGTTTCTTTGATTTTGAGAAAAAATATTTTAGAGTAAAACAATTTTTTAAAAAATATATATGATTTTTTTATTTTGTTGATTTAAAAAATATAAAATTTTTGTATATGATTTAGAATAAAGTAAAATTTTTTAATAAAATTTTTTATTATATTATTTTTAATGACAAATAATATGTGACATTTATAATAAATGATATGTGAATATGTAACACATTGATAACACATTATTTTTGTTGAAATTAAAAAATTTTGAAAAATAATTTTTTTTAAAATTTTAACAGAAATTGTGATTTTTTATCTTTATAATCATCATCTCTATTGAATTTAAAAAAAAAATTATATTTTTAATAAAATCATTTTTTTAATTTTTGAAAAACCACTTCATTATTAAAACTATAAAATGTAAAATATAAAATTATTACGTTTTTAAGGTAAATAATGTCATATGTAATCTAATATATGATATAATGTTACATGTAATCTAATATACGATTAAGTGAGAGTCAATAAGAAAAAATTTTCATTTTTTCTTTGGAATCTAATAAAATCTATGAGAGGTTTTATTTCCCTACTTTTTCTATTTTCGGACACTCTTGAAAATTTTAAAAAATTTCAAAAATCAAGCTTAATGAATCAAACTAAAAAATTTAGAATATAAAAAATAAAATTTCAACAAAAAATCTTACTTTCCCGGATCAAACGTCTCATAGTGTGTGTATGGTTACGAAGAGAGGAAAAGTAGAAAAAAAAAAGTAGACCTCTGCTAGTGTACTGCAGTTTGTAGGAAGTGCCCAGTTTTTGGTCTGTTCAACTTCATAATCTGTCCTATTTGCTCCTCCTGTAGAGAAAAAGAAAAGCGAAAGAGAATGCTACTTTACATTTGTCTAACAAACAAATGGAATGGTGAAAACTAAACATCTCTAAGCAGCAAATAGAATAATGCAAAAAAAAAAAAAAAAAAAAACTCATAACCAATATATCTCAAAAGAAAACAAATTGGTGTAGCTAAAGTACATCCATATCAAACAATATTTAATTATCTCTCCATAGTCCTCGCCAATATATTAATTCATATACATATACATACACATATATTTATATATTTTATATGCAATACAAAGATTAAGATTAATGTATGTGTTTTTCACACCTGAATCTTTTCTTTCAAAGATATCGGTGTCTCGACTGTGCTCATCTTGAGTTGATTCCATTTGCCGGCGACGTTTTTGCCGTTCCCTTGCCTTGTGGTTTTGAAACCAATAGAACACATTCTTTCCTTCTATCTTACCATATTTGCGCAGCTGTGCTGTTATTTGCTGAATTTGGTCTGCTGATGGGGTTCGAGTTCCTCTTCTATAAAGTTCTTCAAGAGTTCTTAACTGCTCAGGCGTTGGATTCCACCTTGAGCTGACGACAACAGCCGGTTGGGTATTGAAATCCCTCTTGTTTTGATCTCCTATAGCTGTTTTTAAAATGGAATATGAAACCCATGCATATAGCCATGAAGAAGACGAAATTCAGAAAACAAACAAACTTTCAATGACGAATATAAAGGGAAATCAGAAAACGACGTACTTAGGTGATGATTTAGTGCAAAAAATTCGGTGCCATTGATACGGCTTAGACAAGGAGAGTTGTATGCAGAAGTCATTGGCCTTGGAATCAGAGGCCTAAGTTTCCTGCCATTGAAGGAATCAGGCATGTTGAACTCAGCACCGTCGTTGTAACCCATCATCCACATCTTGGTGAGCAGTACTAACTACTAAATTAGGAGAAGATCACTTGCTCTTAGAAACAAAAATACTAATTATCTTTAAGGGTTTAAAGTTTTAATGCAAAAGGGTTGTAATTATAAAAGGATGTCCAAACCAAAAGGGCTTTAACGCACTCACATTCAGTCTCATACCTTGCTGCGAAGGGTAATCGGAGTTGATATGATGGAGTTGAGAAAATGGTGCTGAAGTTGTAGAAAAGGGAAATGAAGCATGCAAAGGAATGAGGCAAAAGAGGTTCAAGGAAAAAGAAAAGAAATCCCCACTTTTAAAACATAGGTAGTAGAGATGAGTTGATATATATAGAAGGGATTGATATAGTAAATGATGAAAAGGGTGCGAGAGGTGAGTAGTTTTTGAGTTTTGAGGACTTTAAGAGCAAAAAGAGATGAGTTGGTGATGGTTTAAAATGGAACAAAGTGAGGGAAGACATGAGGTTGACTAATGACTAGGCAGTGCCCTGCCTGCCTGCCTGGGAAGGATCGGATCGGAGAGGGAGAGAGAAAGTGTAGGAGAGAGGACAAAAGCAAAAAGTAAAGAGAGGAAATCAGGCAGGAGGGAAGGGAAGCGTGGAATTCTGCGAATGAAAAACGACGTGACGACGATGAGGGTTATTGTAAGCCTCATCACCCTCTAATTTATTGTTCTTCTCTTCTCATGTCTCGTGCTTTTCGCACTTATTCTCAATCCGAACTGCCCCTCTCTTCCTTCTGCCCCCTTACCCTTTTCTTTGTCTATATTTCCTCTCTCCTGCCAATGCACACCCTTCTCTCTCTCTCTCTCTCTCTCTCTCTCATGCATACATGACACATCTATACATCCATGCATAACCATACTTCTATACATCTATACATATAAGATTATTTCTGCCTTAAAAATCTCATGAGTCAAATGGCACAATGAGTAAACATTGAAAAATAAAAGGAAATTTAAAAGAAAATTTTTCTTGGACATTTTTTACATCAATAAAATCTGTTGATAATTATATATATATATATATATATTACAAATAAGCACTCCAAAAAAATCTTGGATCCGTTATTGAAAGTCTCTAATTTTTTTAATCTTTCTTCCAATTAATTGGATTCATTTCGCTATTCTTAAAGACAATTCTTTTAAATTATTACTCCCCTCTTTTCATATATCATGTGCAATTTTGATTTAATACAAAACTTAAAAAATTTTAGGTTGAATTTTGACTTTCATTAATTACTCGTAATTTTTTTTTTTAAATTTGGACTTGAAAAAGGTATCATAAATATATATTTTTGACGTTTTAGATAATACGTTGATTTTAAAACATGTAAACCTACGACAAAATATTTGTAATATGTAGACCTTGTGTATGCAAAGTTGTATTGACCATTGCACATATGCGTGCATTCAGACATAAATAGAAACAACACATAGACACAAAATTGTGCTTGGAAATGTTGTATGTATAGTTTGTTTTGAAGGCTAATATCCAAGGGAATATGATGTATCATAGTTGTCCTTTTACGTGATGGATATGCATGTGGGGTTTGTTACATGCTTGCTTCCATATATTCTCATGTACTATCAGAAATTTACAGTGTCAAAGTTTTGGGATCTTTCCTTCACTTTTTACCAATTACCTCATTCATTAATTCATTTCTTATTGGGTGTCCAATATTTTCTATTTCCTTGAGGATATATGGTATAGCCCATTGGTCATTATGATGAAATGATTCCAATTCTCAAGTTACCAGGAAATTTTTCATTATTGCTTAATTATTAGTTGTTTCTGTAGGACAGTGACTTGAGCTAATTCTTTTTCTAGTTAGCCTAAGCTTTTGCATATGATTGAACAGAAAAAAAATTAACTGTCAAATTATTTCTTTTTTTTTTTTGGGGGGGGGGGGGGGGTGGGGGTAAAGGAATAGGAAAGACTATTAAGTTTTTTTTTTTTTTAATGTTATTTCTGTTTTGGGGGTTGACATAGATTACGGTTTTTTTTTTTTTCTATCTTGTGTATAGGAAAATTATTCATGGTCAACACATTATAAAGATAGATAAAATTTCTTTCAATTATCAGATTAGAGATCTGGACATACATTTAGTGGTTCAATTAAAACAAATTTAATTAATTGTTTATATATTTTTATCTACTTATTAAATTTTATTAATCTTAATTTTTAGTTATTAATCTTAATTTTATTAATCTTAATTTTATTGATCCCAATGTTTTAGGGTTGCTTAATTTAGGACCTCACTTTTTAATTTTTATAAATTAGTACCCAATGTATTTGAGGTCTAACAATATAGTACTAGAATGGATGAAATCTGGGATATGTAAGACATGCACTGTTAATTTCGCGTGAACCACTAAATGGGTTATTTTTACATTTCATTTTTATCTAATATGGAAATTATTTTTTTGTTTAATTGATAAATTTCTTTAAAACATATAAAATCAATTATCAACAATAAATCTCTTTCACCCAAAATTGATTAACCCCCAACCTTAAATCTATACAAAAGGAACCAACCTTGGAACCAACCCTAAACCAAAATTGATTCACCCTAAAAATTGAAATCCCTAACCTTATCTTTCCCGATCGATTCAACCAAAATGATTCACCATAAACTAAAATCCCTAACCATACCTTTCTTGATTGATTCACCCTTCATTTTTGTTTACATGGAAAGAACCTCAAATTGTGACATTTCAAGGCCATCATTTTGACTCATACAAGTTCTGGTGAGGAGGGTGGTGGTAAATTTTTCACTCTTTGACAACAAAATCAAATAAATCTTTTACTCTTTGCAATATAGGTGCGAAAATTTTGTGCTTATTGTGTGATTGCAAAATGGATGTGAAATTTAGGTGTATGTATTGATTTAGTACTTTAACCCTAATTATTACATAAGAATTAGTATATAAATAACATAAATTATATACTTTTATCTTTAATTAGTATATAAGTAAGCAAGCAAATAGTGATCAAAGCTTTCTCATTTTTGACAAGGATGAGTTTTGAATTAGGGATGATAAGATTTCTTTATCAAGGAAAATTTGTTGGATTTGGTCAGAATCTTTAATATGTAAATGAGACTAGTGATGACCTTACATTTGACCTTGATAAATTTAGTTTTATGAGTTATTAAAAACATGTGAAGAAGCTAGTTTTATCAATATTAGAAGGATGTTTTATTTAAAGCTTGATAGACCACTTGGAGATAGGTTCAGGTTAGTTTGGCATGATGAGCGCATTCTTGATATAATAGGGATTAAGATAAACAATGGGTTGGTCGATATTATATTGATCATGGCATAGATGAGCCCCATATGATTTAATCCCTAATGTTTTAAGTTTACCACCACCTACTCGGAGTGAAGAGGTAGAAAATGAAAAAGTTGTGAATGATGTAGTGATTACTAAAGAAATATGTAGTTTTAGTGATGCTTCTGATGATAGGGCAGATCAAATTGAGAATACTTCTAATAATATGGTTGATGCTCAAAAAGGGAGTGATGGAGTGAACATTCCAATAAATATTCAAGAGAAGGATGAAGGCGTAAAATTTCTATAAATGTTCAAGAAGAGAGTAAGAGATTTAAGGTTGAACAAAGTGAGCTAGAAAGAATAATTATCTTGAACAAGGATATCATAGTGAATACTATGAGTCAAATAACTATATGGTGATCTTGTAAATGATGAGGAAGAAATGGTTGATGATGCAATTATGAGGAAAACTAAATTTTCAGTGTACAATCCATTTGTAGTTAGCCCTTATATTTAATTAGGTATGTTATTTGAAAATTCTAAATAATTTAAACTATGTTGTATTATTATTATCTCTTAAGACAAATAGGGTAACTTTTTGGGTTAAAAATAATAACACTCAAGTCAAAGCTAAATGTGTTGCAAAAAATTACGTATGGGTTATTTATGCAACATATGATAAGAAGTTACATTCATTTCAAGTGAAAACTTATAAAGATAAGCATTATTGTAACAAGGTGTTTGAAAATCCAAGGCTAACCCAATCTTTATTAGTTGAATTGTACTTTGAAAAGTTCAAGAAAGATCATTTTATTAAAAATGCAAAGGTGTGGACAACAATCAAATATGATTATAATGTTAAGGTCAATATTAGCATAATTAGAAGGGCAAAAAAAAAAAGGTTGTTGATAAGGTTGTTAACAATTGTAATGAAAAGTTTAGTCATTTGTGAGAGTGTGCAAATGCAATCAAATATGTCAATCTTGGCAGTATAGTGAAAACGTAAATGCATAGATAGATTCCAACTTCTTTAATTGTATTTGAAAGATATTATATTTGTTTTAGTTCACTTAAAAAAGGTCTAAAGAATGGTTATAAACTTTTTTTAGGACTAGATACCTGTTAGCTAAAAAGCTTGACTAAGGGTGAATTATTCTGTGCTATGGATAAAGATGAAAATAATAAAAAATTTCCATCTGCTTGGGCATTATGGGAAGTGTAGAGCGCAACTTCTTGATGATGGTTTTTTGATCTCTTGAAGTTAAATATTAATATAAAAAATGGAATAGGATGACCAATTGTGATAGACTAACAAAAGGTAAATCAATTTACATTTTTCTTAATAGTTGTTTCATTTGTTACATTTATATTAAATAGTCAATTAAATGTTAATGAATTTTTATATTGCTTGTACAATGTAGGGTTTAGTCAATGCAATTGATGAGTAACTACTAGATGTTGAGTATAGATATAGTGCTCAACATGTTTATATGAATTGGTATAAGAGAAGACCTTATAAAGGTGAAAAAATGAAGCAATGGTTTTAGAAGATTGCTAAATCTTTCACAATTAGCATTTTTGAAGATAACTTTAAGAAATTATCTAACAAGAACACTAAGGCAGGTAAGGACATAGTTAAAGTTCCACCTAAAAAATGGTATAAAGCTTTTTTTAGGACCAATAACATAGTGAATTGGTAGAAAACAACCTCTATGAGGCATTCAATGGGACTTTATTGGAAGCAAAAAATAAACCAAAAATCTCGT